GCCAATAGTTACATTGTTATCCAATAAAATTTAATGTAGCCTCTTTTTATTTTAAAATTACTTCACCAGTTGATATACTGATATTGACTACGTATGTTCTTCTTCAAAATTAAACATTTTCAAAAAATGAAATGCACTTCAATGATTTATAAAAATAATTTAGAACATTTTTGTTTGTTAAAAAAATCTTGTCAAAATAGATCATCTTTGGGATGTCTTAAGCTTGAACAATAAAGTTTCACAGATGTTATCTTTGACTGTCAGACAAATATCAAAATTAAACAATAAAACACAGAAAACCAAATATGACAATATTTAATGAAATACAAGCATAGAATTACAGTTAAAGTCACACAAGGTATTACATGATTATGTACCTTATTGTATATATACAGTAGACTAGAGGAGATCTAAACTATGGGTATCATACTTGTAATGCTATAAAATGTCAAAGTAGTTACTATGGTAACACTCTGATTATTCACATTAAGAAAGTACGTACCGACAGACTTGGGTGAGGGTTCTGGCTCCTCGGGTTCCATCATGCCGTTGTGGAAATGATTATAGTGATATGACAATCCAGGCCGAGTCTTGTAACGGGCATTGCACACTAAATATAGTAAAACCCTTGTAATATGCACATTAAATATAGTAAAACCCTTGTAATATACATTACAATTTATATCTCCTCTATTTTATGAAAGCTGTTTTATTTAAGCAAGATGAAGTCTTGATTCATCATCATTAAAATTGCTACCTTTACAAAGTTTTGACAGTAGAAATATAAACAAGAGCTGTCGGTAGGACAGCATGCTCGACTATTCTTAGTGCTTGATAGTAAAAAAAATGCCTGATACAGTTACCTCCTCCTGTTTACAGGTTGGGGTCATGATGGTGAACAAGTGTGCAAAGTTTCAAAGCCATATGTCAATGGACTTTGAAAATATTTGAACTATTACAAAAACTTTAACGTAAATTCTAAGTCGAAAAAGGGGCATAATTCTGTCAAAATGCTTGATAGAGTTACCTCCTCCTGTTTACAGGTTGGGGTCATGATGTTGAACAAGCGTGCAAAGTTTCAAAGCCATATGTCAATGGACTTTGAAAATATTTGAACTATTACAAAAACTTTAACGTAAATTCTAAGTCGAAAAAGGGGCATAATTCTGTCAAAATGCTTAATAGAGTTACCTCCTGCTGTCTACAGGTTGGGGTCATGATGTTGAACAAGTGTGCAAAGTTTCAAAGCCATATGTCTATGGACTTTGAAAATATTTGAACTATTACAAAAACTTTAACGTAAATTCTAAGTCGAAAAAGGGGCAAAATTCTGTCAAAATACTTGATAGAGTTACCTCCTCCTGTCTACAGGTTGGGGTCATGATGGTGAACAAGTGTGCAAAGTTTCAAAGCCATATGTCAATGGACTTTGAAAATATTTGAACTATTACAAAAACTTTAACGTAAATTCTAAGTCAAAAAGGGGCATAATTCTGTCAAAATGCTTGATAGAGTTACCTCCTCCTGTCTACAGGTTGGGGTCATGATGGTGAACAAGTGTGCAAAGTTTCAAAGCCATATGTCAATGGACTTTGAAAATATTTGAACTATTACAAAAACTTTAACATAAGTGGTTACGCCGACGCCGACGCCGACGCCGACGCTCGGGTGACTGCAATAGCTCTACTTATTCTTATCGAATAGTCGAGCTAACAAAAGTGTGAACAATAGTACCTTTTGTCACATTTGCCATCAGAAATATATACAATATATACATTAGAAAAGACTATTACCTTCACATGCATATGGCTTTTCTTTCTCTTCATCAATCTTCTCCTTATCTTCTTTCTCAACTACCTTCTTCTTACGACCTCTACCACCACCCTATATCAAACATAATAACATATATATATATATATTAGGGATGGCAACGAGTAACCGGTTAACCGAGTACTCGATCGAACGTCCGAATATCGGTTAACAAAATTGATATTCGATTACTCGGAAAAAATGTATAATTTCTATTTTATTTGCTATTTAGACAGTTTGGTGTATCCAATTAGTTCAAAAATTCGGAGATGTGCATATACCTTCATAAATACCTGTTAAATACAATCACAACTTCCTTGCAGAGGTGCGAAAAATGATACCATTAATTTAATGAGGCGATCAACAGTTTGAAACGCGCACATGTGTCGCTTACGTCATCCAGTCTCTTATGATATTTAGTAACCTTTAATTGTGTAACACAATGCAGTTTGTACCCGAATCTTGTTTTAAGGTAACATTTTTGAAAACAACAAAGGGCCGTATTGCTATTATGATATAATAATTAAGGTAATATTTAGACCCGGATAAACTTTCGTTGCCGCCGATCAGTCTATTTTATTACAAGAAGAAAAAGATGTTTCAACTGCTAAACATGTTTTAAACTTGATATTGCACTTAATTTAATTAAAATGTTCTAAAGTATAATGTCGTTGATTTAATTTTAATTAATTTGTCTCCTTTGCAGTCCTATCTATAGTTACGAATTCTATGAATGTAAATAGAAAACGAAAGTAGCATGCGGACGGTGTTGATATTGTGTGATAAACTTTGAAGATCATTGGAAATCGTCCGAGTAACCGAGTACTCGATCGGAAAAATGACCGAGTACTCGAGTATTAATTTTGGTATTCGTTGCCATCCCTAATATATATATAATATTTGAATTATTAATAAGATAACTAAAAGTTTAATATTTACTTTTTGCAAGTTGAGATGTTGAGAATTTTAAAATGAAACTTGTGTTATAAAGACAAAAAATCAAGAAAACACATTTTTAAAAAAAAAATAATTTTTGAAACAATACTTCATTTAACCGCTTAAGAGTAAGTGGCAATAATGACATATCTATGCCATCAGTATGCTCTTAGTATCTATGACCCGAAACTGTTTTGTTCCTGAAATTCTTAAATAAAGGTTAAAATATTTAAATAATGGTTGAATGATAAGCATAAACATTATTCAAAAACTCATCAAAACAACTGCATCAGAACTTTACTAGCAGACATCTGTCATCAAGATTGGATCAGTACCTTGCCCTTGCGTTTTCTTTTCTTGATGTATTCCTGTTCAAAGTCACTGATATCTGATTGGTCATCACACATTTCCCCGGCATCTGGTGGCTCCATGTACTCGTCATAATCATCATACCACTTGTCCTTGCTTGTCTCACTCTTCAGGTCTCCAAACTCTTCAGTTTCTGTCCTTGCTGCAGGGTTTTCTACTGTACTTATCTGATGCATGTCTGAAATAACACAGTTTTCTTGAATAACCACTACCATCTACTACTATACACTAAATTGTTAATAATGGTATTAATACATAAATAACCTTTATCTTTTTTTCAAATAAACACTCCACCATTACATGTACATTCTGTTTATACTTAATATAGTCAATCCTGATGTCCATACATAAATTTAATCCTCATTTTGTTTTTACTTTTTTTTCAGTTGTTTTTTTCTAAAACTGTTATAATTCCAAATGTTAAAATATTAATGTTTTCTGTACAAAAAAAATGGAGACCTTTTTCAGTTAAAAAAAAAAAGAGGAAAGAATATGACTAACCTTACCTACAAAACATATCTAACAATTTTAACTTGAATCTTGAAAATTGGTACTGTCAACAATGACTTTTTCAAAATGTGTTTAAATTATCTATATGTAAGGTGTAATTCTTTATACATGTATATGACTTACATAAACAATAAAGACAGAATAGATATAAAGCAATAATTGAGTTCTGAACTGTTCACAAAACATCATTACAACTGGTTGATATAGTAACAAAAACATCATATGAAGGTTCATATAGTAAAATAATAAAATGGACCTCATCTGCCTGCCACCTAAAACGGTTCCAAAAAAAATTAGAGCAAAGCATGCAGTTATAAAAAATGTGATGCATAAAACAAAACATACTCTTCATGCAGTATTACACTTCATACATGGCTGTAACTCATATGACATAGAGAAAGAGTTACAACATTTTTGCACCAAGCCGATGATATACTGGCTGTATGAGACAAATAACATCTAGCCATATTAATACCTGAATGCAATCTTATATTAGTCAGTACATCAAATAGTACAATGCAGAACATGTATTCATCTTCCTTCAGAAAGACAAATATATTTTGAGGGTTTTTTTATGCAAAGACTCTGTCTTATTCAATTGATGATATAAATAAAGAATAGGTAATTGTAAAACATGCATGCCCACCTGTAAGTATGTCTGAAGTTATATGCAATGTTGTTTTTTTAACTTCTGAGCCTTCAGCCCAAAATTCAAAAGGGATCCTCTATTGCCCAAGACCAATACACCTGTGAAGCTTAAAGGCCAAATGTCCATGGGTTGTCAAGTTACTAGTCAGAAATCATTTTGCCATACAAGGTCAATGTGACCTTAACCTTTGACCCTTTGAAACCAAAATCAAATAGGTCATCTACTGGCCAAGACAAATGCACCTGTGAAGTTTGAGGGCCAAATGCCTTGTATGGGTTGTAGAGTTATTGGTCCGAAAATGTTTCAACCAAAAGGTCAATGCGATCTTGACTTTAGAGCCCTTGACACCAAATCAACAATGCACATGTTAAGTTTGAAGACCCAGGGCCCCTGAAGTGTCGACTTATTGGTCAGAAACTGCTTTGACATAAAATGTGACCTTGACTTTTGATCCCTTGACCACAAAATTAAAATGGATCATTTACTTGCAAACACCTATGCACCTCTTATGTCTCAGGACCAAGGGCCCATGGGTTGTAGAGCTATTGGTCAGAAACCGTTTTATATAAAAGGTACGTCAATGTGACCTTGACCTAGTAACCTTAAAAACATTAGTATTCATTTACTGGTCATGATCAATCGTCATAAGTAGTTTGAAGTTTCTAGGCCCAAGATTATTATTGAGCAAAAATTGATTGGTCTACAAACCTAGAAGTGCAAAGCAATATCCCAAGAGGGTCCTAATAAGACATTACCAAAACAACTCAAGTATACCTCTTGCATAGAAAAACCTATTGTATTTTCAAACAAGAGGGCCATGATGGCCCTGAGTCGCTTACCAGAAACAACTGCTTTTAGGAATGTCAATATATTCTAATATTAAATTTGAGCATAGAATAAGTTTAAACCATAATTTGAAGAAATGCCATTACCTGGGGTATTTAAGCTTTAGCTTAAATGGGGCTGATCAAATTAATATGAGCAAACTTGATAAACGACTACCTAAGATTGCTACAAAGTTTGGTGGTCATCTATCAATTATTTCAGTAGGAAATGATGTTTGAAGGTTTTTTCTATTTTTAGCTTTAACAGCCTCTAAAAGGGGCCAATCAAATTAATATGAGCAAACTTGATAAAAGATTACCTAAAAATGCTACAGACAAAGTTTGGTGATCATCCATTAATTAGTTCTGTGGGAGAAGATGTTTAAACGTATTTCTATTTTTAATTTTGGCTGCCCCTAAAAGGGGCTAATCAAATTAATATGAACAAACTTAATAAAAGACTACCCAATAATGCTTACAGACAAGGTTTGGTGATCATCCATCAATTAATTTTGTAGCAATAGACGTTTAAATGTATATCTATTTTTAATTTTAGCGGCCCCTAAAAGGGTCCAATCAAAATTATATGAGCAAACTTGATAAAAGACTACCCAACAATGCTACAGACAAAGTTTGGTGATCATCCATCCATTAGTTCTGTAGAAATAGACGTTTAAAGGTATTTTTATTTTTAGCTTAAGCGGCCCCTACAAGGGGCCAATCAAATTCATAAGAGCAAACTTGATAAAAGACTACCAAAGAATGCTACAATCATCCATCACTTAGTTCTCAAGAAATAGACATTTAACAGTATTTCTATTTTTAGCTATAGAGACCCCTTAAAGGGGCTTATCAAATTAATATGTGCAAACTTTATAAAAGACTACCCAAGAATGCTACAGACAAAGTTTGGTGATCTTCCATCAATTAGTTCTGTAGAAATAGACATTAAAAAGTATTTCTATTTATAGCTTTTGCAGCCCCTAAAAGGGGCCAATCATAATAATATTAGCAAACTTGATAAAAGACTACCCAAGAATGCTACAGACAAAGTTTGGTGATCATCCATCAATTAGTTAACTAGAAATAGACATTTAAAGGTATTTCTATTTTTAGCTTTTGCGGCCCCAAAAAGGGGCCGATCAAATTAATATGAGCAAACTTGATAAAACACTACCCGAGAATGCTACAGACAAAGTTTGGTGATCATCCATCAATTAGTTTTGTAGGAGAAGATGTTTAAAGGTTTTTCTATTTTTAGCCCTAGAGACCCCTAAAAGGAGCCAATCAAATTAATTAAGCACACTTGATAAAAGACTACCCAAGAATGCTACATAAAAAGTTTGGCGATCATCCATCAATTAGTTCACTAGAAATAGACATTTAACGGTATTTCTATTTTTAGCTTTAGCGGCCCCTAAAAGGGGCCAATTAAATTCATATGAGCAAACTTGATAAAAGACTACCAAAGAATGCTACAGTCAAAGTTTGGTAATCATCCATCAATTAGTTCTGTAGGAGAAGATGTTTAAAGGTTTTTCTATTTTTAGCCCCTTAAAGGGGCCAATCAAATTAATATGAGCAAACTTGATAAAAAGACTACCCAAGAATGCTACAGACAAAGTTTGGTGATCATCCATCCATTAGTTCTGTAGAAGAAGATGTTTAAAGGTTTTTCTATTTTTAGCTCTGCTGACCCCTAAAAGGGGCAATTGGAATGACATGAGCAAATTCAAATGTGACTGTCACAAGGATACTACAGACCAAATTTGAAGTAAATCTGCTAAGTAGTTTCAGAGAAGAAGATGATTGTTGAGGCATGATGACGGACGACGGACAATGAACACCGGAGCATCCCCCTTTGATACTAATAGCTCACACAAGACTATTCTCAGTAATTGATAGTAAAACTGGATGTAGAAATTAACAAAAAAAAATTTCATTCAAAAAATACTTAACATTATAAGATCAGAGTCTTTCTTATTGACTAAGGAATTTTCAATGTTCACAAAGGTATATTACTCAGTCAAAATCCATGCCAAAGTTAAGGGCCTAGCACAGTGACCTCAACTATGACACAAAAGACCTGTTTTAAGTTTCAATAGTTCAGTAGTTTTGAAGATTGATGTTGCATGCAAGACTTTAAAATGGAGTTTCCCAAAGGGCCATAATTCTGTCAAAATCCATACTAAAGTTATGGGCATTGGAAAGTAACCTCGAATTATGACATCAAATAAGTGTTAACAAACAAATATTCTCAATGGTTGCTAAGATATGTTAAAGAAGTTTCACATCAAACTTTAACCAAAGTATTACCCTCACATAGACATGTGAGTATGATAGCCCCACTATTCTTCGAATAGTTGAACTAAAAATCAAAAACACTTAACATTATATAGGAATTTTGCAGCAGATTCTGAAAAATTTCTATGGAATCTAACATTTTGCTTTATTTCCTCAGGCAATGAAATACAGTCTCTTTGCAATGTAACTAAACAGCAAAGCTGTAAGCTCATATAATTAAGCCAGCATTTTAATATTAGAAGACTCGATTAAAAAAAAATTGATTAAAAGTTCAGCAATTATCATATTATCAGCTGTTTATATGTTGATTTTTCAGCTAAAATTACAGATGAAGAAAGATGTTAGGTGCTGCTGAGTTCTGTTTACTACATGTAGCTGGATTTTATTGAAATAAGCTCCATAACTGAACTGGTTTGGTAGAACAAACCACCTCATTATCAAATATTTAAAATCAACTCTTACAAGTAAATAATGCTAATATTATAATCTTTCATATAAAATATAAGAAGATCTAAACTTTAGACACATTACAATGAATCATTGACAACAAATAATGAAATCCAAGGTAATATCATATACAAGTATTTACAGTGCTCAATTTCAATATTATTAAATGACAAAATGAGACTGTGAGTAAGAGAATATACATGTATATGCCTTGATAATAACATCAACTAATGAGACAACCCTGCTATTAAGACCACTTTGGTCCAGTCAAGTTGATGGAGGGTTTTTACTGTATGCAGTGACAGCTAGTCTTGATATTATGAAATTGAAAATATTACTGTGTCTTTTTATTTTATAAGCTCATCAATTCATTTAAAGGGAAGTCAGACTACTCTCTCCCTTACCAGTTCCTCCCCTGATGTTTCCTCCCTGATGGTTCTCTCCCTATTTTGGGAAGAGAATATTCTGTCATTCATTTAAAGCTTCTCTCCCACAAAAAATGGGTCTAAAAAATCAACATATCACCTTGGCGCAAAAAGTACTGTTACTGACATTTTTAAAATTTTACAGAAGACACAAAAAACTGATTTGTTCGAACAATATGTATTTTAATCTTCAAATACTCCTTAATAAAATATGTTTCGATATTTATTCTGATGACAGCCGAACATAATTCTGGAGAAATTTAATATCAAAGATTAAATTCTCATTGACCAGGTTTCAATATTAAATGGTGTAAACAATTCATCTATCAAATAAGTATTTAATTTTTTTGCAAAATAAATGTGCAGAAAGCAACATTAAACTGCTCTGAAATTTATTTTCTCAATTTACTTTAGACAAAATTCCAAGTTTTAAGACATTGTTTCATTAAGAGTCTAGCCTAAGGGCAATAACAGTAAACTTGTGGTCTAAATATGTGTTGAGTGGATTATCAATGGTCTCAATAGTGGGGCCAAATAAAGAATAAAACAGTCAATTTGGTGGTATTTAAATATTCTAGAGGTAAAGAAGGAAAAGCATTATATTTTGGAAGTCACAAGCCAAAATTAGCAGTACCCGACTCCCATACTTCCATTAATGGAAGCCCTGAGATGACATACATAAATTAATAAATCTTATCAATGGTGTTAATTGCTCCTTTTAAGCCGCTATAATTTATTTCAACGCAAGTCGGCAATGTATTACACATTACCTGCACAAACAATGCAACATGCAAGTGTACAGGCACCTACTATTACACACAACATTAACTTCTGTTGGTTTCAAATCTTAGGTCTCATTGTTTTTCGCAGAAATAAAGTCCTTGCAGAAATAAGTACTCATATGGTAACAACAATCACATCAACACTGTAAAGTTCATAACTTTCTGTATTTACTTGTTGCAGAACATCAGTTTCTCATTAGCTTAGTAGCTGGAAAATTCCTCAAATGTTAAAAAAATTATCATCTACAGCAGACTTTGAACCTACACCTGTCATAAAGGGAAAGGCAGTTTACCTTCCAGTAATCAGTATTCCAAAATAAAGTAGCAGAAACTATTATGGTTTGTATGACAAACTCTCAAGCAAGCATCAGTAGATGAATTCAAATATAGTCAAAGCCTTAAACTTAATCATTATTATCTTCAACATAATATACATGTATTATGTCTGCAATTAAACTCACTAGCCTATACTGTTTAATCCTAATCAAAAGCAGGCATGCTAAATTAAGCAAATTTGTCATATTAGAATATTACACCCCACGGTTCAGTGTTATAAAAAACAACTGCATATTAACCAAGTATTAAGACAATATTGCAGGCCAAGTGTAAGCATATAATACCTGGCTGTACCACTTCTTGTCGTTGTTTACGTCTTGGGGTACTAATCTCTGTAAATGTACAAGTCTAGCCAAAACATTCATATTATAACTAGACATGGCCCTACAAGCCTACATCAATGTGTTATTCAAAATTATAATCATTCTGATCTAAACAAGCCTCATTCTGGCATCTACATACTGACAAACTCAACGTTTTATAAAACAGTAAAACATATAACACAATAATACAATTAAGACTCAAAAATAAATTTACATAAATACTTATGCTAAAACAAATTTTGAACAAGAAAAACAGAATACAAACATGTATAGGCTAAAGAATAACAATGCTTTTTTAGACTACAGTAGGAGCTACATAGTATTCTTCAGATTGACGATTTTAATTTTAGTCATCTGTGATATTGCTATTTATTTCATGGAATGTGTCAAAAAAGATGTACGAAAGGAAAAGCCATAACATTATTAGCAATTATTGTATGTACCTGATTCACCAGTCTCTATTTCACTTGTTTTTGCTGTACGCTCTTCAGGGAACAAGAAGTAATGGCGTTTCTTTTTCCATCTTCTCTCTGGATACGAGTATATCTGACCTGGAAACTTTCCTAGTAAAACAGATGTTCATATGATATTTATAGAAAACTGTTAGTTATTCAGAATTATGGAAAAAACATCAACATCTACATCAAAACACCATCTGTTTATAACCGGTGAATTTATCAAACTTTTGAATTCTTGTGATAAAACTGAGCTCATTAAATTATCACAGTTCATCAAAAATGCTCTTGCTTTAAGAAATTCAGTATTAACTGTAGAAAGATAACTCTGATATCTATTCCATTTCCTTATATACATGATAAATTGTTTTGATTTATATGCATAATTGATAAATATGTATTCAAATTTCTAACGTTGCTGTAAAAAAATTAGTCTGGTCTTAATGTATCTCACGTTTACATATATATTTATCTATACACATGTACAAGATAATGAACTATGTGCGAATCTGAATAAATTATCTGTTCTGTTTTTCTGTAAAAAACAAACCTCATTTTCATTTTTCATCACTTTCATTATCAGTAGAAAAATGATATCATTTGGGGTTTAAAAAACTGACTTTCATTTAAAACATTTTTTTTTCTTTTTGCATTCGCCAAACTTCTCAATTTTTTTTAATAAAGACAACTGTGTACAATAAAAACATGTAATGATCTAATCAAGTCTGTATACAAGGGCAGAACTTGGATTTGGTGTTGCATGCTACAGAAAGGCATATATCATTGTATATGCATGTAAGTAACAGTAAATAAATTTTTAGGTCACTTAAACTCTGCAGAACAGGCAAAAATCAATACAATTCCGATTAAGTTAGAATCTTACTCACCTGGTTGCCTGTGCCTGTATGTATGCCATAGATCTGTATGACTTTGAGCTACACCAGTTTGTGAGTCAAGGAATGGCAGTCTCATTTTACGATCATTCTTTAATCTAACATTGAAGCTTGCAGCTTGTTCTATAGCATCATTGTAATAGGCATCAGAGCCCCCAATACTGAAACACAAACATAGTGCAGATCCTTTTTTAACAATTAAATTAAATCTAAAGTCAAGCAGAGTGACATCGTGTTTTCATTTGTATGGCCTAAGGAACAATGACAAGAAAAGGAATGCAGTCCTGATACAGAAAACAAATCTTTTTTTGTTTAATTTATATAAATAGTTTTACGACAAAAGCTTTTGGTGTGTTTAATTCTCCAACAATCATCAATGTGTAATTTAGATTGATGGGTACCCATGATGACAATAATCCTAATCCCTACAACTAAACAAGATCCTGTTAAATGAAATCCTTTTCTTGTTTGGAAAGGGTCTGCTCTTTGAGCTTGCTATTACATGGACATGCCAATGCTGCAATAAAATTACCCCACTGGGCTCAAAGTGCTCCCACATGATTCACCTGAAATACTATTCACTAATTTTTGTAGTGAGGAAGAATACAATGTTCTAGTATGAATAAAGCAAAATGTTTGACCATACCATATGATTACGGGATTGACCTTGGTTAATTTGTGCAGATGGGTAAGAAAACAGAACCAATGTGCCTCTAACCTTTTTATAAATCACTTTTTTTAAAGATATTGACTTTTGTGTTCAATTTTATTAAAATATTAAAAAATAAAATTAGAAAATAAATAAAAGCATTATCTTAATTATAAATATAGAAATCATGACAACAAAGATGTTCGAAATAAAGTACATGACTTAAATCGTTTCCCAAAAATTACGTCATTTATATAAGAGGTCTCGCATAACTCCTTAATGTCATGGCTGACTGTGATATTTCACAGTTAAATTATTGTTCATTTAAAATTTAAAAGAGAAAAACCAAGACAGAAATATCAATAATAATATTTAATTAGGTTAATAAATGATCACGAATTATCACTAGATAACTGCAAAATTGGTCAACACTAATAAACTATAGAATGATATATTAATCAATCCACAAAGAATTACTAATCATTATAAATATTTACCAAAACGCAGTACTAAAATAACTGATTGCAATAAAAACTTATTGCTAAACCAAGTGGGCTAGGGTGGGTGGGCAAAAAAGAATAGAACGTGATCTCGACTACAAAATAAGTAACAGAATGGCGAGCAAAAGCAAAATAACCTATATATAGGTAATTAAATAACCTATCAAATTCAATAACACACATTTCAATTAATCCAATCAGAAGTCTAAAAAATAAACCGTTGACCAACGAGATAAGCTGATATAACCAGAGGTCAACTCGATTCAAATAAAAACTTTATCATTCACAAGAATTAATCGATTTTAGCAGGTATATTAAAATACGCTAAATAGGCAACTTTAATGACAGTGTTAATATTTTAATACTTTAAAATGTATAAATCAATATTAAAATAATTTTAGTTAGGTTTCACAATGGTTCTGCTTCAAACTTCAATGCCGCATCAGATGAAATACAAATAAAAAAAAAAAGAAGCTTAAAAAATTTTGGAAACCAAAACTAAAAAATTGACTGCTTCACAACAGGTTAACAGGCTAAGATTTAACAAGTGCTATCATTGATGGAAAATATTGTTGTGATATATCGAGAGACAAATATTGACGATACATTGATATATTGACTTTGACAGTAGATACAAAGAAAAACATTATATATGTGTTATAAATTGGGATCATAAAGTTATTCATGCTTGTATTACACATTACAAATACTACAAACTAACAGAAAGTTTGTTTTTTCTGTTATTTTTGTCACTGACATTTGAAAACGGGTTTGCCTAAAATACGAAAGTGAGATTTTTGACGAAAGTGAGCGAAAGTGAGCGAAAGTGACTTTTAAAATATTAATTGTAACGTTTTAATAGACTTTTACAATAAAATTGTAGTTTGTAGACGTATATTATTAGAAATTACTTATATTTATTATGAAAAATAATCATAATGATGATTTATTCGGTTTTTATTTGCATAATTTATATACACAAATTCTTATATCTTCCTTTCGCTTACATTGAAAAATACGAAAGTGACTTATAAAATATAAAATATACCATTTAAATTGAAATTATTTTTACTATTATTGCACAAAGTGGAAGTATAATATCAGAAAATGATAATATTTACTTTCAAAGATAATCATTATGATGATTAAATCGCCATTTATTTTGCATAATCTATATACACAAGTTATAAACAGAGATCTTCCTTTTGCTCGCATTGAAAAATACGAAAGTGGTGCAATTAATTTGTAGACGTACAATATCAGAAGTCAATTATATTTATTTTCAAAAATAATCATTATGATGATTTAACCGCCCTTTATTTGCATTACACAAGTTAACAGATCTTCCTTTCCCTCACATTGAAAAATACGAAAGTGACTTCAAAAATGTCAAATATAGCGCTAAAAGACGCATGTTTTCAGAAATGAATAAAATATATTAAAAAAATCATTATGATGATTTAATATCCATGTATTTTCATAATTGCTGTATACCTGTTCTGATATCTTACTTTTGCCCACATTGAACAATACGAAAGTGACTTAAAGTCGGACGAAAGTCAATGTCAATATTCACGATATTAATGTTTTTTATAATAAAAAAATAAATGAGTCATTTCCATTATTATTCATGTTTTCATGGTGATTGACCTATAATTGATGATGAAAATGACTAGCACAAAATATAAAAAAAAATCCTAACTTATAAAAAGATTGAACTTTACCGATATATATATAGTCAGGTACGTATATTAACATACGTACCTGATATAGTACGATATTTATAGAAAAATCTGTGGATTACTTATTTCCTTTTTTCATAGTGAAATATTATTTTAACATAATGATGGGAAATTCCAAATTATTTTTCAAATTAACATGTACATTGCTCATCTACACCTGAATGAGCATAATAACTGCCACTTTAATCCGTGCAAGATATCTATGGTGGTGCAGAAGAAAGGTTAATTTTCAAACATATATACAACTATTCACATAAAACTTACATAAGACCATTCCATTTAAGAATTTCAAGAGACATTATAATAATGAGAAACACAGTCAAGACCTATTACTGTTAGATTATAATCAAACAGTATATAATTACAATATAATATATAAACAGAATATTAAATGTTAGGTAACACCATCGTTAATCAAAAATTAAAAACTGCCCGAAAAAGACGATGTAAGAAATTGAGAACTGTAAAAAAAAAATAATAGTTACTATAGCTTATAACATACGTCTACAAACTGCAATATTATCATGAAATTCTATTTCAACGCTATATTTGATATTCTGTAAGTCACTTTCGTCAGGCTCACAGTAAGCGAAAGGAAGATCAATGTCTGAGCTTGTGTATAAATATTATGCTAATAAATGAAGATCATATTGATTAAAGATACTAGTTTTGATAATATACGTCTACAAACTGCATTATTAATATTAAGTACAATTAAAACGCTATATTTGATATTTTTAAAATCACTTTCGCTTAACATTGAAAATACGAAAGTGAGCGAAAACAAGATCTCTGAAATTGCTATATAGAAATAATGAAAATGCATGAATATTAAAACCTCATAATGATTTTTAAGTATTTTTTATTCATTTTTGAAACTATGTGTCTACAAACTGTTGTATTAATATAAATTCAAAATAAACGGTATAGTGAATGTTTTATAAGTCACTTTCGTATTTTTCAATGTGAGCGAAAGAAAGATCTAGATGTAGTTGTGTATAGAAATTATGCAAATAAATAGCGATTAAATCATCATATATATAATGATTATTTTTGAAAATGAATATTATCAATTTCTGATAGTATACGTCTACTTAGAGAAATTTTAGTAAAAAATCAACTTAACCAGTATATTTAATATTTCATATGTCACTTTAGTATTTTTCAATGTGAGCGAAAGGAAGATTTCTGAACTAGTGTATAGAAATTATGAAAATAAATGGCGATTAAATCATCATAATGATAATTTTTAAAAATAGATATTATCGATCAAATTCCAAAACTATACGTCTACAATCTTTTATAATTATATAGATTCAAATTAATCGCTATATTTGATATTTTGAAGTCACTTTCGTATTTTTTCAATCTGAGCGAAGGAAGATATCTGAACTTGTGTCTAAAAATAATGCAAATAAATAGCGATTAAATCATCATAATGATTATTTTAAAAATAGGTATCATCAAGTTCTGATAATATACATCTACAAATTGTAATTTTAGTAAAAATTTCAATTAAAACAGAATATTTAATATTTTATAAGTCACTTTCGTATTTTTCAATGTGAGCGATAGGGAAATATAAAAACTTGTGTATAGAAATTATGCAAATTAGTAGCGATTAAATCATCATTATGATTATTTCTGTTAATAAATATAATTATTTTCTAATAATATACGTCTACAAACTGCAAGTTTGTTTTAAAAGTCTATTAAAATGTTATAATTACTATTTTAAAAGTCACTTTCGCTCACTTTCGCTCACTTTCGTCAAAAATCTCACTTTCGTATTTTAGGCATACCGTTTGAAAACAGAGTTTAAATTTCAAGTTTGCCAAGGAAACAAGAAAAAGGTAACTTCTCTTATAAGCCAAAATAGAGATATATTAATTTACAGAAATAAAATATTTTTTAGCTTGTATCGATATGTAAAAATGTGTATCGATATTGTATCGGATGATAAATATTGATGGTAAATCAATATTGCGATGTTCAATGCACTAGATTTAATCACAGGCAAAGTAATTAAATTTTTAACGCAACTCAATATCCTATAAATCTAATTTAAATCTATCTATCTATCTCAAATTTGTATGTAAGATAACATCTGTCTGAGACTTCGCTTTGAAGCTTTGCCTTAATTTCTTATTTACAAAATGAGTGGGTGGGGTCAGAAACTCGGATGCAGATTACTGGATCATGAAAGAAAAAATGTTGCACTATGTTTAAAACACAAATTTAAATTAAAAAAGAAAGACTTCAAAGACAATATATCAATAAACCTTTTCTGAATCGCATCGTATCGGAGTGTTATTTCTGTCATTTCTATTTGGATTTTTGCGTTGTTTTTCGCTTTGTTTGATAGAAAATAAATTTTGACGAGTAGCTTCCCTTGATTGCAGGATAAGTTATTTCATAAATTTATAATTTTAGACACTCGATAGAAATTTATAGTGTTTTTTTGTTACTTGTAAATATGTAAATTTAGCAAATGTTTCTTTATGACTAAAGAAGCTTGAAAGATTGAAATGATAGACACAAAGTAAAATCTAGATTATTATCAGATGATCCCCGGTAATGATGCTTCTTGAATAAGCGTCTGACAACCTAGATTGAAAAGGAAAACAAATAAAAGAATAAAGTATGACAGACTCTGATTTAAAAGAACAGGGGAATCGTTTTTTTACCGCAAGGAAATATGATGAGGCCATTGGATGCTATTCAAAAGCCATTGTGAGTTTATAAATGATTTATAATAGCTTATGTTATAAGCCAGTCGTCCCAGGGCCAGACCCAGGAAAGCAGTATGGACTAGTATGGTAGAACAACTCAAGGCAAATAATTCCTAGTTGTTCTTTACTTTTACTTTTCAGTGACAGATTAGCAGACTGTTTTTATTTGTAGTGATTACAGGTGTCAGACATTTTCAACAGACATGCTGTTTTGTTAAAAAACAACTTAACAAGTCAAATCGGCCCCAAGTCAGATTGGCCCTAATTCGAATCTGTCCCAAAATTAGTCAAATTTACCTCAAAACTATCTAAATCGGCCCCAGAATAACTTTTGTAAAACATTCTATTTTGGATTAAAGAAGTTTATTATAACTGCAAATTGCGTGTAAAAGTAAATGCAGTAATAAAAAATGTCATGATAAAATTAAAATGAAAGAATATATCATATAGTAAAATTGTTGACTTTTGAATATGTTTATTAAATGTTTCTGCTTGCAGCTATCATGTGAAACAACTTTCCTCAACAGTATTGTTGAAGAAAATGTCTAGTTCTAGTTCTACATCATACTGCTTTAAAATCGTTTATGATCACTCTAAGCAGGTATACATTGTATACAATTTTAAGAGACAGATATGAGATACAAGGGAATCCGGGAACCAGTCCCTAGCTCATATTGAATAGACCCCTTGGTTCTTTAACATGCCCAGTAAATAGGACTGATACATGCGAGGATTACCAGGATTTCTTACCAGTACACCTCTAGGTAGGTGGGAAACACTGAAAGTGTCTCTGAAAAATCCCAAGGTTATAACCCGGGATCAAACCTTGGACCTCAGGAGTGATATTGAGTGATAATCAGTGGTCTAACCAATTGAGCTATCACGCCACCACCAGTTTAACCACGGATTTATATTACAGGGATCAGACACTCCCAGTTAACCCTATATAAATGCTTTAATATCTTGTCGTGCGCCCGATAAAGGTACATCGATCGATAATTTACCGGCGCTAAGCGTAAATGTCCCTTTCGCAACGGATACCTACTTTACAAAATACCATATTACTTTTCCATTTATTATCCGATTTTGGAAATTTAAAGTTTATTTTGAAGAAAAATACTTGTTTAATTCAAATATCTAATTTATTTTTTAAAGGTACAGTTTATCTGTCCGCAACGACGGTTAAAAAATTAACTTGACGAAATCCGCGATAAATTTACATTTTTTATATAAAAAGCAGGTATTTGAAATTTATTATTACGATACCATAATACTTTCAGTTTCAAAATAAAAAAGAAGCCGATGTAAGTTATTCACAGATGATCAAAGATGCAATATTTAAGATTTATTGGGTTATGTAGTCAAATTTATTAACGCACAATTGTTTTACGGGTAATGTATTGCGGCCTTTACACGTGAAGAAAATTTATTAATTTTTTAGTACAAAATATTGCCGAGATTGTCAATATTGCCATATTCATAGAATATTTAAATTTCATTCATCATTTGTATCATTATTATTTTTTGTAAATCTGTTTTCAAATGTCGGTGCAGTGAAGTAGACAATCATCGTAACAGTAAAGTTCTCTCGTGTGGCTGTCTCGATTCCGGCCTTTTTAATGTCACTCGTATATTTTAATCCGTATATTTTAATTATTCTTTTTATTTGAATGCCTGTAGAAAGATATTTAAGATACTTTTTAATGTAACGCTAGAAAAACAATAAAAATCTTTACAGTTTGAGTCAGTATTTTGCGAAAATAAAAGTAACTGTTGATTATTTTTTACATGTCGCTTAAATTTCTTTCAAGTTTAATTACTTTTGAAGGGGGTAAGTGATAATTAAAAAACTTTATTTCCAAACTTTCATTACCAGGTTACATGTGATAATTGCAACACTCAATCTTCAAAAACAAATAGAATTTGAATGTATATTTTGTGTATGCGCGGTCTTTAACTACAGTCCATGGCATATATGTGGTAAGAAAATGATTCTGAAGAGGATATATATAAATACAATGTAAATCTATTTTCTTTATTAACATTTATAAATGAAATTGAAAATATACAACTAAATTTGTATAGTCCTTTCTCTGAAAAATAATGAAAATAAACATGTGATAAATAAATCATTTGACGTGAATTGTTAAGGATAACCATGAAAAAAGTATGTTTCAAAATAAAAAATAATATTATAAAACAGCTGTTCTCTATGCCAATCTAATGAATTCATCTATAGGAATGCTTGTCTAGAATGGTGTGAAAATATATTTAATACACTTATTAGTAGAATATTTACTATATTTATACTAATATATAGGTAATCAAATAAAAATGTACAAATCATTTGGAAATAATTCACAGAAATAAAGACACATTTCAAACGTGAATTTCTTTAAAAGTTTTTTAGCAATCAAGAAACATTTTTTTGCAATGCCATCATTAAACCATGTAAAAAATAATTATCTTATTCTGAATCGCGGTAAAAATTCGTGCTTGAAGTAAAAGGGCGGCGAAGTGTAGAGAGTATGCCTAAACAATAGGCGAATATTTTTTAAATTAGGTACTTTTTAACTAAGCGTTGCAGCGTTCTATCAGCATATTTTCATATATTAATACTTTAGCGACACAAAATAATACTGCATCAATACATTCATATGTGTATAATTTTTCACAAAGCTGCAATAACACCACATACTCCGGTGAAAATCTGTCATATTTCGTACTCCGCGCGTTCCGCCATCTCATTCTGTCCACCTTTATCCGATTCTGCGCATGCGCGCGACGGGACTTTAAGCTAAACGAAAGTGTCCGATCCTTGTAATATAAATCCGTGGTTTAACTAACCAATGGTATTGAGAAGATAAGCAGAGTAAAAGTGTAAAGAAGTGTCAGTCATCAATACTTTGTGTAAAAGACAACTCATATACAACAGTTATACTGTGTTTCCTATGTTGTTTATATTTTTTAAGTACATGGAAGATTGCATTGTTTTATTTAGACAATAAATAGAGCACTAAAAAGTGTTGAAATCCACAAAGATGTTCAATATATACATGTCTGCATATTCTTGCATAGCTCTTAAGTGTCATGGCAGACATTAATGTCAATGTAACTAATGTTTTGCAGTGACCTACTTAGTATTTTGATACTTGAAATGGTGTAGAATGATGTTGAAATATATGTTTTATTGAATAATGAACAAGAATTTATTATGAAAAAATTATCTGCGAATTAAAATGAGGTAAATTTGTGTTGTTTTGGTTAGATTTCGCAATGGGTATGATAAAAAACTTTAAAGTTTAAAACTTAGAATTTGAAATTAACATGAACTGGGGCACATAAAATAGAAAAATATGCAAAAGATGATAAAGAAATATACTCAGAATTGAACGGAAAGTTAAAGTTTCTTTGGTAAAATTTCGCTGACAAGTTATTATTGGTCTGAACCAACATCAAATGGCAAACAGATCTAAAAAAAAAAATTCTTTAGTCCTGTCATGTATAAAAAACTGCAGGGAAGTCACATTAAGATGAGAAATCCATATTGATGAAACATATCCTAGCACGTCTTATCATGGTGATAAACAATATCTTAATTTTCTTAGGTATTAAACTTTCAGCTCTTTATAAGATGTTGGTAACACTTTTTCACTGATATGTTGATCAAGTTGTAACTCATAGAAAAAAGGAGGCCTCAGCCTCTTTTTATGCCCCAGAAGGGCGGCATATTAAAATCGCACCTCTGTCTTTATCCATCTGTCTGTCTGTTCATCCCCACTTCATACGTGTCTAGACTGTAACTTTGTCATGCATTGAAGGATTTTAAAATGTCAACTACATCAGGACGATGTGTTGCGTCCAAGACCCTTGTCCGAAGGTGTTAAGTTTGCTATAAATAGCACTTTACTTCACAAGAACAATATTAAGAAATAAGTTACTTTCATTATATCCCCAAAAACAAAGTTTGGGGGGGTATATAGGAGTCACCCGGTGGTTGGTCGGTCGGTCGGTCGGTCCAGACGTCCGTTGCATTTTCCTTGTCCGGAGCATAACTTGAAGACTAATGGTTGGAATTCAATACAACTTCATACAATGGTCAAGCACATTGAGAGGAAGTGCAGTGCACAAGAACCATAACTCTATCTTCACTAATTACAGAGTTATTGCCCTTTGTTACTTTTCCTTGTCCGGAGCATAACTTGAAAACTACTGGTTGGAATTCAAAACAACTTCATACAATGGTCAAGCACAATAAGGGGAAGTGCAGTGCACAAGAATCATAACTCTATCTAAAGTAATTTCAGAGTTCTTGCCCTTTGTTACTTTTCCATTGCTTTCTTTTGTCCGGACCATAACTTGAAGACTAATGGTTGGAATTCAATATAACTTCATACAATGGTCAAACACATTGAGAGGAAGTGCAGTGCACAAGAACCATAACTCCATCATGACTCATTATAGAGTTATTGCCCTTTGTTACTTTTCCTTGTCCGGGGCATAACTTGAAAACTACTGGTTGGAATTTAAAACAACTTCATACAATGGTCAAGCACAATAAGAGGAAGTGTAGAACACAAGAACCATAACTCTGTCTAAAGTAATTACAGAGTTATTGCCCTTTGTTACTTTTCCATTGCTTATTTTTGTCTGGAGCATAACTGGAAGACTAATGGTTGGAATTCAATACAACTTCATACAATCATCAAGCACATTAAGAGGAAGTGCAGTGCACAAGAACCATAACTCTGTCTAGGGCAATTATTGAGTTACTGCCCTTTGTTACTTTTCCATTGTTTTTTCTTGTCCAGAGCGTAACTTGAAAAGTGGTATTTGGAATTCAATACAATGTCATACAATGGTCAAGTATATTGAGAGGAAGCACAGTGCACAGACACCATAACTCTTTCTTGACTCATTTAAGAGTTTTTGCCCTTTGTTACTTTTTAATGTCCAGTGCATAACTTGAAAATTAATGTTTGGAATTCAATGAAACTTCATACAATGGTCAAGGGCAGTGAGATTAAGTGCAGTGCAGAAGAAGCATAACTCTAACTTGACTTATTACAGTTATTGCCCTTCGTTACTTTTTTGTCCAGTGCATAACTTGAAAACTAGTAGTTGGAATTCAATACAACTTCATACAATTTGGTCAAGCGAAATGAGAGGAAGTGCAGTGTACAATGACCATAACTCCATCTTCAGTATTTGTAGAGTTATTGCCCTTTGTTCCTTTTCCTTGTCCGGTGCATAACTTAAAACTTATGTTTAGAATTCAATGCAACTTCATACAATGGTCAAGTGCAATGAGAGGAAGTGCAGTGCTCAAGAAGCGTAACTCTTTCTGGACTTATTACAGAGTAATTCAATAAAACTTCATCAATGGTCAACCATATTGTAAGGAAATGCAACATACAAAAACCACAACTATCATTAAATGCCCACAACCATAACTCTATTTCAATTCTTTAACAATTATTATTCTGTAACTTGTAACTTCCTCATTTCTGAAGCAGTCTTGCGGGGGTATTAATCACATTTAGTGATAGTTCTAGTTCTCTTTTCTTTTCATAATACCTGCATGCTTAATAAAGCTTTTCGGGGGCATTCATCACTTGGGTGATACCTCTTGCTTAAAAAGAAATTCTTGTATGATTTTGTTTTTATCAAATTGGGAAAATGTGGCACCGGTTTGTTTGCTCATTCAGAAGCAGATAATAAATTTAATTGTTGTTACACCAACAGAGAATGTGCGTTTATAAAAAAATCATTTTCAGTTTTTCGCACATCCAGTCTTCATGTAATTACCATTTGTTTAATAGTTATTTTGTTATTGTGCCAAAAGATAAGTATAAACATTTTTTTAAGTCTAAATGTAAATTATTTGAGGGCAAATTTTATTCTGTAGGATTTTTAGTATTCAGTGTGATGAACATTCTTATAATAGAATATGAATAACCAGGACTGTAGAGATTGAAAAGTGGAATAGAAATTTGATAAGTAAAAAAATATCTAAAATCACATTTCAGGCGAAAGAAATAAGTTGTAGAGTAGATGATCTTTGATGTCTTATGATCTTTCAGATTAAAAATCCATACACAGCAACATACTTCACAAACCGAGCACTTTGTTACATAAAACAGAAACACTGGGAGAATGCAGTACAGGATTGTCGTAGAGCTTTAGAACTGGATAAAACCCTGGTCAAAGGTCATTACTTTATGGGACTTGCTCTTACAGAACAAAATCACCATGATGAGGCTATAGCTTGCCTAAAACGAGGTATACTAGCTTACATGTATATAATTATAATTCTTATTACAATGTAATTGTGATCTTGTTTAAGATTTTTTCAGTGATTATTCTTTTATTATCATAGTGCAAAAAGCAAATTAAAATTGCTGTTATATTATATACATCTGTTTTATTTCATGCTTTCCAGTGTTTTACTGTAATATAACAGATGATTATATTCTGATAAACCACTAGTGAAATTTATAAAATATAATTTTCACTGTAGCCGGACTATATCTGAATGCGGATGAAAAGAATATCATAACTAAATGAAATAACAGACAAAAATAAATGCCGTCATACGTAAATGTTGCTTCTTTAGGAAAAGAAAGTCGGTGTCATCATACATCATGTTAAAAATGTAACAAAATTAGAGAAATTTAACAGAACTATATTTCAAAACTGATGATGTGACGTCATGATTGATGACGTCATAAGGGAGAATGCGCGACGTTACGCGGCAAAATCAGTACAAAATACTTAAAATCCCTTAAAAAGCATGAAATAAAAAGAAAATTTATTTGTTTAACATATAAGATTGAAATATATTTCATTCGTGAACACCAGCTATTATATTTTCACTCGTGGCTACGCCACTCGTGAAAATATTGCATCTGGTGTTCACTCAGTGAAATTATATTTCAATCTTACATGCAAAATAAACAAATATCCTCTATATATTATATACATCTGAATAAAATGTAAGGATGACTAGATTTGGATACAAATAAATTACAGTTTAAAGAATATAAATGTCCATTCTTAACTATTCTTTTGATATCAATAGCAAATGAACTAGCTAAAGATTCAAGAAAGAATTTTGGAGATGATATAACTAGTGCTCTAAGACTTGCCAAGAGAAAAAGATGGAGTCAGTTAGAAGATAAACGTATACAGCAGGAAATAGATCTACAGTCATATTTAAACAAATTGATTAGGGATGATATTGAAAGGTACATGTACTAGAAATAAGTTAAAAATACAGAATTTGAGCCGCGTCACAACAAAACCAACAAAGTGCGTTTGCGACCAGCATGGATCCGCGCAGTCTGATCAGGATCCATGCTGTTCGCTTACCAACCCTATTACAAGTAGAGAAACTGATAGCGAACAGCATAGATCCTGATCAGACTGCGCAGAGCGCAGGCTGGTCTGGATCCATGCTGGTCGCAAACACACTATGTTGGTTTTGTCGTGACGCGGCTCAAATTTTATATATTATTTTGATTATGAAGGAAGCTATAAGCTTATAGACACACAATGTAATCCAGTCCTGGAACCAACCACTTAGCAATGGATGTTTTGTTGCTGATGGAAAATGACCGTTTGCCCCTGAAGGTGTTTGAACCCACACTGTGTTCAATCCTTAGATTACTAGTCTGTTAGTCTGTTCATGGTAACAACTCAAACATGCTATCTCTTGAAAAATCTTAAATCCTTTAAATTACTATATTAGTTATCTATATGTTCAAAGTATAATATGTAAAATTAACACATTTTGTTTCATTGCAATAATGAACCTTTTGGTATTGAATGGCAACAGCAGGAAAATTTAAAATTTTTAAATTTTTAATTATTTGGGAAAATATCTTATATTTTTTTTGCTTTAAATTTTAAAAATTTTTACAATGCCCCCAACCCCAAACCTTGAATTTTTGTTATTTTAAAAATAAATTAAAAAGATTTTTTGGTTCATTGGTTTAAAATTTTTTTGAATGGTTTCCCCTTTTTTAATTTTATAAAATTTTTATATTTATATTCCCTTTTTTTATTTTCCCAAAATGGAAAATTTTTTTTAAAAGGGAAAAATTTTTTAAAATTTACCTTTTTGCCTTTTATGCAAAGTATTTAAAAAAAGGGGGTTTTTGGGAGGTGAAAGTCAAAATTTTAAGGTTTTTAAATTTTTTCCCCTTAAAATTTCCCTTTTTAATTTTTTTTTAAAATTTAAATTTGCATTTTAAAAGATAAAAAAAACTCAAGCAGCCCAGGGAAAATTTTTTATTATTTTTTCCAATTTTGGAAAATTTTTCCCATTTGGAGTGGGACAGTCCCTTTTTTTATTTTTGGGGGAAGGGTTTTATTTTTATTTTCCCAAAAAAAAATTTTTTTAATATTTAATTTTTTGGTCAATTTTTACGTTAGTTAAAAGGGGTTTTTTTAAAAATATAAATTTTAAAAATTTGGCCTTTAAAAATTTTATAATGAAAAATATGAAGGGGAAAAATTTTTCACTTTAAAAAATTTTAAATTTTTCCCCAATTCAACCAATTTTTTTAAATTTTTTAAGGGGGAAATTTTTTTATTTTTTGGGTTTTTTTTACTTTAGTAATTTTTCATTGTAAATTTTAATTTAAAAAAAGTTTCAAATTTTTTTTTAAGTTATTTTGTTGGGAAAAAATACAAAATTTAATTTTTATTTTTTTATGACCCATTTTAAAATTGGGGCCCAATTTCTGTTAAAAATTCCCAAAATTAGATTTTTCCCGAACTTTTCTTTTTTCCCCCAATTTCCCTAAATTTTTTTAACCCCTTTTAAATTTTTGTAAGGTTTGGAAATTTTGGGGTTTTTTTCAATTTTTTCTTTTTGTTTTAATTTTAAAAGGGCTTTTTTAAACCCCCCTCAAAATTGCAAAAAATTTTTCCCAAAAAAATTTTTTTCAGAATTTCAAATTTAGGGCAAATAAATTTTTGTTAATTAAACAATTTTAAAAAAATTTACTTAAGGGGGGGGTTTTAAACAATTAAAATTTCCCCAATTTAAATTTAAATTTTTGTCCCACATTTACTTAAAAAACTTTTTATTAAAACCCAAATTTTTGGGGTGGGGCAGGTGGTATATTAAAGAAACCCGCTTTTTACTGTTTTTAGAAAGGGCCTTTTTGTTTGAATTAAAATTTTTTTAAAAAAATTTTTTTTTTTAAAATTTTAGGGGGCAAAAAAAAACAAGGGAGAAAATTTTTTGTTGGGCATATATTAAAGGGGAATTTTCACATTTGGGGAAAAAAATTTAGGGGTTCCAAAATGGGGGCCCAATTTCCTTTAAACAAAAGGGTTAAGTTTTCACATACGGGGGGAAAATTTTTCTTTTTTCCTTTTTTGGTTTTTTTGGTTTTTTTAAGTCAAATTTGCATTTTTTGGGAAAATTTGCAGGCCTTTTATTGGTTTGAAAGGTTTTAAAACCCTTTTTAGCCTTTCATTTAAAACAGCATAAAAAAAAATTGGGAGAAATTTCCCTTTGGGGTTTAGGGTCAAACCAAAAAGGTTTAAAGGCCCGGCCCTTTTCATTTGGGTTTTTATTTTACTATCCCAATTTTTTTCATGGGGAAAAAGGGTTTTTTTTAAAAAAAAATTTTTTTAGGGCCCATAAAAATTTTCCCCGGGAAAGAAAAAAAAATTTTAATTTTTTTATACAGGGGTATTACATATATTTTTTCTCTTGGGTTTTTTTCCCGAAGGAAAAAATAAAAAAATTGTTTGAAAAATGGGAGGAGAAAAATTAAAAATGTTTAGATTCAGGGGCTTGTGATTAAAAAAAAAATAAGAAATGTTTAAAAGGGGGGGAACAGGTTTTAAAAAGTTAAAATTTTTTAAAAATTTAAAAATTGGGGTTTGGAAAATTAATAAAACTAGTAGAAAATTTTTAAAAAAAAATGGGGGGGTTTTCAGCTGAAAACTATTTTTTTGAATACAAATCGGGAAAAATAGGGTTTTTTATTTAAAAACCCTTTTCCCGGTTTTGCTCTTTAAAATTAAAAAATTTCTTAAAAAAAATCTTTTTTATTTTTTGAGATTTTTAAATGGGGGGTTTATTTTTTTCTTGGGATTGTTGGATACCCCCTTACATTTTTAAAAAAATTTGGCCCAAATTTTTTAAAATTTTTTAAATTTGGGGAGTTTTTCAGTATCTTGTAGTAAAACAAGTCCTTTTAAATTGGGGAAAATGGGTGTGTTTTTTCAAAAAATACTGTTTTTTCCTAAAAAAATTTTTCCCCGCTTTTTAGCCTTTGGGGCTTTTTTTTATGAAAAGGGGGGGCTTTTCCCCAAAATCGCCCCCGGCGGGCGGGTTGGGGTTTTACACCTTGGGGAAGGGTTTTTTTTTACCACCCCCAACCTTTTTTTCAGGGGAAATATTACAAAATATTGGTTTTGGAAAAAATTTAAACCAAAAACTTTTTTTTCACCCTTTATTTTAAACCCCCCCATCTTAAAAAAAAACCCAAAAGTTTTCATTTAAATCTTTTCAAGGTTTTTTACCCGAAAATTAATTTGGGCCCCCCTTTGGGCTTTAAAAAAGGTTTTTTAGAGCTTGGTTTTAAATTTTTTTTTACCACCTCCCCCCTTTATTTTCAAAAAACCAAATTTGGGGGGGTATTCTTTTGGGGGGGCTTTACCATAAATTTTTTTTAAACCCTACCCACCTTCATCAACGGGCAAGGGGGAAAATAAAATCTGTTCCCAAAGGTTTTTTACAGGGGGTTATGCCCCTTTTTGGGGCTTTAAAAAAAATTTCAAAATTGGGGAATTTTGGGTAAAAACCACTATTGCCTTTAAACCCCCTTTTAGATATTTTCCTTTTAAAAAATTTTAAAAAACTATTTCAACCAAACATTACCCCCCCTTTTTTACGCCCCAAAAAGAAGGGTTTAACCCCTGTCAAAGGGGTTTTTTTTTTAAAAATTTTAAGGGGCCCTTTTTTCGAAATTAAAAATTTTTGGTTTAAAATTTTTTAAAATTTCCAGTTTTCCAAAATTTTTGAAATGGGGAAATTTTTTTAGTATTTTAAATTTTAAAAATTTTGGGGTTTCTTGTCACCCTTTTAAAAAAAAACAGAAAATTTTTTTTGTTTTGCCCTTTTTTCTCCAAAAAAAAAATTTTTTTATTTTGGGAAACAATTAAAAAAAATTTGGGGGCCCCGGGTGTCTTTTCGGACAGCTTTTTGTTTAAGTTTGCGCTTTTCGTTGGGGGGATTTTGTTCCGCCCAAGTTAGGGATCCCCCCGAAAAAAAATTTCCCTTTTAAAAAAATCCGGGGAAAATTTTAAACTTTTAACCACTTTTGAATTTTTTAAATTTTATTTAGGGGATTGGGAAATAAATTTTTGAAATTTTTTTGTATTTCATTTAAATTACTATGGGTTAAAATTTAATTTCTTATTTCAAGGAAAAAATTTCCCCCTTAATTTTTCAGGGTCAAAAAAAAAATTTAGTTTGTCAATTTTTTTATGTAAGGGGCTTTCTTTTTCCCGGGGAAAAAGAAAAGAAAAAAATACAGAAAACCCCAATTTTTTGATATTAATTAAAAATATATTTCTTTTTTTACCCCCAGCGGAAAAATTTTTAAAAATTCCCCCCAAAATTCCAAAGGGCCCCCTATGTTGCATGAAAAAATTTGTCCCCCAGGGAAAAACCCCAAAAAATTATGAAAAAAAGCAAAGTTGTTTTCCTTGAAAGTTTTTTGGAATTTTTCCCAAAAACCCCTTTCAAGTGGGTTTTTCATTTTAAAACAAATTTTAAATTTTAAAACCCCCCCTCATTTTTTAATATAGGACATTTTTTTCCCCTTTTTAAAAAACCCGGTAAAAACTAATAAATTTTTAAATTTTTCTAAATGCCAATAGGATTTTTTTTCGGGTTTTTTGGGAGACTTTATGAAAAAAGGAGGGGTTTTTTTGACAATTCATAAAACATTTAATTTTTTTATTTTTTCCTTATTGGGCAAAAGTTTTTAAAAATTACATTTCAAATTTCCCCTTTTTTCTCCCTTTTTTGATAAAAAAAATTTAAATTTATTCATTTTTTTCGGGTAAAAAATATGGCAGGAAATCAATTGGGTTTTTTTGGTTCCCAAATTTATTGGGGAAAAAAGGGCAAGTAAGTATGAAAATTTTCCAGGGGAAAAATTTAGAAAAAAATTAAAATATTTATAATTTTTTTAGAGGGAAAAAAAAACCCTTAAAAAGACTTAAAATGGGCAGG